TACATTTCAAGCATTCCCTTCTTTTAATTTTGATGATTATGGCTTACAGCCAGTGAAAACCCAAAATTCAGTATCTCAGAAAATTATAATTTTGTGACAAAGTTCAATATTGTACACTCATGGTATCACGCTAATCAGCTAATTAACTCAAACAACCTGTAAATGTCTCCTGAGCCTTTAAATGGTCTCTCAGTCCAGTAGGTTACACAATAATGGGGAAGACTGCTGACTTGACAGTTGCCTATAAAACAGTTCTTGACACCCTCCACAAGGAGGGCAAGTTACAAAAGGTCATTGCTAAAGAAGCTGGCTGTTCACAGAGTGCTGTATCCAAGCATATTAAAGGAAAGTTGAATGAAAGGAAAAAGTATGGCAGAAAAAGGTGCACAAGCAACAGGGAAAACCGCAGCCATGAGAGGATTGTGAAGCAAGGGCCATTCAAGAATTTGGGGGAGATTCACAAGGAGTGGACTACGGCTGGTGTCAGTGCTTCAAGAGCCACCACACACAGACGTATCCAGACAATGGGCCACAGCAGTCGCATTCCTTGTGTCAAGCCACTCCTGAACCAAAGACAACGTCAGGAGCGCCTTACCTGGGCTAAGGAGAAAAAGGACTGGACTGTTGCTCAGTGGTCAAATGTCCTCTTTTTTGGATGAAAGTAAATTTTGCATTTCATTTGGAAATCAAGGTCCCAGAGTCTGGAGGAAGAGTGGAGAGGCACATAATCCAAGTTGCATGAGGTCCAATGTGAAGTTTCCACAGTCAGTGATGATTGGGGAGCCATGTCATCTGCTGGTGTTGGTCCACTGTGTTTTATCAAGTCAAAAGTCGGCGCAGCCCTCTATCAGGAAATTCTAGAGCACTTCATGGTTCTCTCTGCTGACCACCTTTATGGAGATGCGGATTTCATTTTCCAGCAGGACTTGGCACCTGCCCACACTGCCAAAAGTAACAAATACCTGGTTTAATGATCATGGTATCACTGTGCTTGATTGGCCAGCAAACTCGCCTGACCTAAGCCCCATAGAGAATCTGTGGGGTATTGTCAAGAGGAAGATGAGAGACATGAGACTGAACAATGCAGAAGAGCTGAAGGCTGCTATCAAACACCTTCCATAACACCTCAGCAGTGCCACAGGCCGATTGTCACCATGCCACGTGCACTGATGCAGTAATTCATGCAAAAGGAGCCTCGACCAAATATCGAATCCCTACTATCATGTACACGGACATACCTTTCAGTAAGCCAATATTTCTGTATTAAAAATCCTTTTTTTTATTGGTCTTATGTAATACAGGCGTACCTCAGTTTACAAACGCCTCGGTTAACGTAATTGTCGGTTTACGAATGCAAAATCCATTGAAAATAACGCCTCGGTTTACTAATTTTTTTGGCAATACGAAGTGTATGTCGGTACCGATTTTTAAATGCAGTTGCCGGCTTGCTTTTTTTTTTTTTTTCTTCACTATAGCTCACAGAATTAGCTGTCACTTTCCCCGGAGCTAAAGGATACTTTGTTTCTTTTATCTCAGGAAACAAACTAAAAGGAAACATTGTTTCTTTTATCTCAGGAAAGGAAACTTTTTTTTAGCTTGGGGGAAAGTGACAGCTGATTTTCTGAGCTATACTGCCCACACTGCCAAAAAGTAACAAATACCTTTTTTTGTTGGTCTTATGTATTACAGGTGTACCTCGGTTTACGAATGCCTCGGTTAATGTAATTTTCGGTTTACGAATGAAAAATCCATTGAAAATAATGCCTCGGTTTACAAATTTTTTTTGCAATACGAAGTGTATGTCGGTGCCGATTTTTAAATTCAGTTTCCGGCTTTTTTTTTTCCATCACTATAGCTCACAGAAGTAGCTGTCACTTTCCCTGGAGCTAAAGGATACTTTGTTTCTTTTACTTCAGGAAACAAAATAAAAAGAAACATCGTTTCCTTTAACTTGGGGAAATAAACTAAAAGGAAACTTTCTTTCTTTTAGCTGGGGGGAAAGTGACAGCTGATTCTCTGAGCTATAGTGAAGAAAGAAAAAAAAAGCCGATAATTATATTTAAAAACCGGCACTAACCTATAGTGACAGCAATTTTTTTTTTTTTTTACTTTTTTCTGACCTCCGGAGTGGATTAATTTGTTTTCAATGCATTCCTATGGGAAACCGTGTTTCGGCTTATGAAATTTTTTGCAATACGAAACATCCCGGAGAACGCATTAAATTCGTAAACCGAGGTGCACCTGTATTCTGATTTCAGAGATACTGAATTTTGGGTTTTCCCTAGCTGTAAGCCATAATCGTCAAAATGAAAAGAAAGAAATGCTTGAACTAGATCACTCTGTGTGTAGTGAATCTATACGAGTTTCACTTTTTGAATTACTGAAATAAATGACCTTTTTGATGATATTCTAATTTATTGAGATACACCCGTATTTTTTTTTAATGGGACGCCATATTTCGACTTCAATCTTACTAGAGTGCATAATGCACGGCAGCCCTTCATACAGCTTCTAGTTTGTCCCACAGTCCAAAGACGGACCACACAAGGAGGGTAGTGTTTACAGCCATGGATCATACTGAGCTTCATTTCCACATTCTCATATTCAGCGCCTTTGTAAAAAAAAAAAACAGCCATGAACCCTACAGTGATTCATTTTTGCATTCTCAAAGGACAAACTGAAAGATTTGCCTTGCAATAGAACCGACCAGCCCTGATAAGGTTTATCTTACTTTCGTACTAAATAGGTCTTGGGGCTAAATGGGCTGAGAACCATGGGAGGTTTATCCCTTTGGCACACACCCAAAATTGGTTCAGTTTCAGATGAACAGACTCTCTTTAAAATGTTCAGCAAACCTACACAAGCATTCATAGAAATCCTCAGGGTGCAATCTGAACAATACTGAACAAATGAGGGAATTTTAGATGAACTTACATTTGATGAACACTCGATGTCGGGAAAAAAAAAAAAAAAAAAGATTTGCTTTAGTTTAAGCACCTCTACCAGTCATCAAAAAATAATTGCTGAACAAAAGCTTTATTGTACTCTGCTAGCGCAGTAGGACCCTTGTGTGTCTCAGTGGAATGTGAATGATGTGGGTTAGTTTTCTGCTGCGCTATGTGACCCATTGTAACACACAAACAAAAATCAGGAACTCGAGATCGGTTCCTGTAAAAAAAAAAAGCTAAACTGGCTTTGGCATCATTTGGGATTAAAGGGCTAATGCACCCACTTGTTACTGCTTACTCCAAGAAACTTTGCAACAGACTAAAAGAAGATGGCCTAAAGCAGAGCTTGAAAAAGCCGCTCGCCAAATGCGAGGGAAAATCCTTGTGTTGTGAGCACAGATGGAGCGACTCCACCTGTGCTCCAAGCCGCATTGTAAAGCCGTGTTCCGATTTCTGACTTCCGGCTTCTTCGGCACTGCCATTACACTGGCAGCACCGCTGAGGGGACAGGTGCAGGAGAGGTCCGCTCTCCTCCGCTGAGAGGTGACACCCGCTCTCCACCGCAGCGGGGGACTCGAGGAGAGGTCTGCTCTCCCCTGCCGTGGGAGACATGAGGAGAGGCCTGCTCTCCACCGCCTTGGGGGACACGAGGCCCGCTCTCCACCGCCTTGGGGGACACGAGGCCCGCTCTCCACCGCCTTGGGGGACACGAGGCCCGCTCTCCACCGCCTTGGGGGACACGAGGCCCGCTCTCCACCGCCTTGGGGGACACGAGGCCCGCTCTCCACCGCCTTGGGGGACACGAGGCCCGCTCTCCACCGCCTTGGGGGACACGAGGCCCGCTCTCCACCGCCTTGGGGGACACGAGGCCCGCTCTCCACCGCCTTGGGGGACACGAGGCCCGCTCTCCACCGCCTTGGGGGACACGAGGCCCGCTCTCCACCGCCTTGGGGGACACGAGGCCCGCTCTACACCGCCTTGGGGGACACGAGGCCCGCTCTACACCGCCTTGGGGGACACGAGGCCCGCTCTCCACCGCCTTGGGGGACACGAGGCCCGCTCTACACCCGCCTTGGGGGACACGAGGCCCGCTCTACACCGCCTTGGGGGACACGAGGCCCGCTCTACACCGCCTTGGGGGACACGAGGCCCGCTCTACACCGCCTTGGGGGACACGAGGCCCGCTCTACACCGCCTTGGGGGACACGAGGCCCGCTCTACACCGCCTTGGGGGACACGAGGCCCGCTCTACACTGCCTTGGGGGACACGAGGCCCGCTCTACACCGCCTTGGAGGACAAAATTGGAGCTATATCTAAGGCTAGGTTCACATCTGTGCAGGTAGTACCGCTGCAGCTCCGCATGAAAATCCGTGCAGCCGCACCGCCCACAAAGAGAAATGCAGACCCGCGGGCGGGTGCCATTAGTTCTAATGGCACGCCGCCCGCACTTAAAAATGCAACCGTACTGGGAAACGAGGTTCCCGTCCGGGCTGCACTTTCAGAAGAAGTGCAGGGACTTCTTCTCCGCATGTCACGGGGCACAGGAGTCCATTCAAATGGATGGGCTCTCGTGACTGCGCAAAACGCGGCCCGCACGGCCGCATAGATGTGAACCGGGGCTTAGTGCAGACTTCTGGGAAAATCAATGAGCCAATCACACAAGCAAGAAATGACATTTCTAAGGGATGTTCTGTACAGCATTTGTGCACAGAACACCTCCAGGTAGCCATATTGCAACGCATTTTACAGAAAAACGTCAGCGCTGCAGATTGAAACGGAAAGGTAATTTTTAATAAATTCAATTACAATATGACTTGTAAAGCAATTGTACGAACTATATATATATGTTTTTTTTAATTTGCTATTTTTTTTCTCCACAAAAGTGCAGTTACCCTTTAAGGAAACTGAAAAAGGTGAGACACTATGCCCGACATACTGAAAAATAGATTTGGGGTTTAAATACACTTTAAGCCCCACCTATGCCATTCAACTGTCAGACGCCAGAACCTCTGACATCCAACAAGGGGAAGTCGGAAAAAACGACTACTCACTTGGAAACTGTCTGAATGATGAACACATCCTTCCCTCGCACCGACTCCTGAATCTGCACGCGGGTTTCTGTGGTTTCAAACAGAGAGAAGTTTTTTCACAATGATGAACTTCTACATTAGAACACATTGCATCACAAGTTACTTTTTTAATACAGATGTTAGAAGGATTTTGTAATGAACTAATATAGATATTTGTACAGTGCATCCAGTGCATTCAAAGCGCTTAACTTTTGCCACATTTTGTTATGTTACAGCCTTATTCCAAAATGGATTAAATTACATTTTTTCCTCAACATTCTACAAACAATACCCCATAATGACAACGTGAAAGAAGTTCTTTTTGAAATATTTGCAATTTATTAAAAATAAAAAACATACATAAGTATTCACAGCCTTTGCCATGACACTCAAAATTGAGCTCTGGTGCATTCTGTTCCCACTGATCATCCTTGAAATGTTTCCACAACTTGATAGGAGTCCACCCGTGGGAAATTCAGTTGATTGGACATGCTTAGGAAAGGCATAAACCTGTCTATATAACGTCCCACAGGTAACAGTGCATGTCAGAGTGCAAACCAAGCCATGAAGTCCAAGGAATTGTCCGTAGACCTCCAAGACAGAATTGTATCAAGGCACAGATCTGGGGAAAGGTGCAGAAAAATGTCTGCAGCATTGAAGGCCCCAATGAGCACAGTGGCCTCCATCATCTGTAAATGGAAGAAGTTTGGAACCACCAGGAATCTTCCTAGAGCGGGCTGCCTGGCCAAAATGAGCGATCGAGGGAGAAGGGCCTTAGCCACGGAGGTAACCAAGCACCCGATGGTCACTCTGAAAGAGCTCCAGCATTTCTCTGTGGAGAGAGGAGAAACATCCAGAAGAACAACCATCTCTGCTGCTCTCCACCAATCAGGCCTGTATGGTGGAGTGCCCAGATGGAAGCCACTCCTCAGTAAAAGACAAATAGCAGCCCTCCTGGACTTTGCCAAAAGGCACCTGAGGGACTCTCGGACCATGAGAAACAAAACTCTCTGGTCTGATGAAACAAAGATTGAACTCTTTGGCCTGAACGCCAAGCGTCATGTCTGGAGGAAACCAGGCACCGCTCACCACCTGGCCAATACCATCCCTACAGTGAAGCATGGTGGTGGCAGAATCATATTGTGGGGATGTTTTTTAGTGGCAGGAACTGGGAGACTAGTCAGGATCGAAGGAAAGATGAATGCAGCATTGTACAGAGACATCCTTGATGAAAACCTGTTCCAAAGCGCTTGGACCTTACACTGGGGCGACAGTTCATCTTTCAACAGGACAACGACCCTAAGCACAAAGCCCACATAACAAAGGAGTGGCTACGGGCCAACTCTGTGAATGTCCTGGAGTGGCCCAGACTTGAACATCACTGGAGAGATCTGAAAATGGCTGTGCACCGACGCTCCCCTTCAACCTGATGGAGCTTGAGAGGTACTGCAAAGAAGAATGGGAGAAATTGCCCAAAAATAGGTGTGCCAAGCTTGTAGTATCATACTCAAAATGACTTGAGGCTGTAATTGGTGCTAAAGGGGCTTCAACAAAGTATTGAGCAAAGGCTGGGAATACTTACCGTATATACTCGAGTATAAGCCGACCCGAATATAAGCCGAGGTACCTAATTTTACCACAAAAAAACTGGGAAAAACTATTGACTCGAGTATAAGCCGGTGGTGTCAGTGGGGGGAGGAATAGTGCCCCATCGGTGGTGTCAGTGGGGGAGGAATAGTGCCCCATCCTTGGTGTCAGTGGGGGGGAGGAATAGTGCCCCATCCTTGGTGTCAGTGGGGGGTGGAATAGTGCCCCATCGTTGGTGTCAGTGGGGGGAGGAATAGTGACCCCTGCTCCAGCCTGGGCTCGCTCACTCCCTCCCTCTCCCATGGTACACACTTACCGGTCAGATGTCTCCCTTCTCCGGCCGCTCTCCTCCTCTTCACTCACTCGATCTTTGTGGTGCCGCTCGGCTCCTCCTCTCCAAGCTCCACCTCCTCACCGGTGATTGGGCGCCTGTGTGCCTCTCCTGAGCTACAGTTCCGGCGGCCAATCACCGGCGAGGATTGATCCCGGGGGTGTGTCCAGATGACAGGGACGGCATGTCATCCCGCCCACACCTGGAGACGTTGATTCGAGTATAAGCCGAGGGGGCCGTTTTTCAGCACAAAAAATGTGCTGAAAAACTCGGCTTATACTCGAGTATATACGGTATGTACATGTGTTTTTTTTTTTTTTTTCGTTTTTTTATTTTTAATTCACGTTGTCATTGTGGGCCATTGTTTGTAGAATGTTGAGGAAAAAAAAATGGAATAATACATAAAATGTGGCAAAAGTTAAGCGCTGTGAATACTTTCTGGATGCAAAGTATATTGAAAAGCTTTATTTTAAAAGTATATTTTTAGACAAAACATTTACAGTTGGATAAAAGGTGAAAGGGTTCGACCCTCTCCTTTTTTATTTGCAGTCTGATTCTGCTTTGAAGATTCACCCGTTATATTTTTCCCGGCGACCATTGTTGACAGAAAGTAATGCGAAACACAAAATTTTACAGTTGTCACCATTACATTAATAGAGGGAACTCTTTTAATGGGGCAACCTGTTCTAATGACAACTGTCTAAGGCAGGGGTGAGCAACTTTGGCCCTCCAGCTGTTGTATAACTACAAGTCCCATGAGGCATTGCAAAACTGACAGTTACAAGCATTACTCCCAAAGGCAGAGGCATGATAGGACTTGTAGTTCACCAACAGCTGGAGGGCCACAGTTGCCCACCCCTGGTCTAAGGTGCTAGATTGGGTAGTTGATCTGTACTTTAAAAGCCCCCACCCTACAGCCACATTCCCGACCCTCAATCTACAAACAAACACGGTGGCCGTTCAGCTCTGTTTACATTGTCAGGACCAGGAGTTTAACACCGCTTAGTGTGCAAAGTCACCAATTATAGTCAATGAGACTGTCAAACATGACTATGGCAGCTGCAGCACAGAAGTTCAAAATAGACTACCCATTGGGAATGAAAAAAAAAACCTTGCAATCAGGAGGGGGCAGTATTGCCTCCTGAAAGCCTGGAACTGTCTCAAAACCTCCAAAAAAACAATCAACACAATATAATTTTGATACAGGATTTATGTAGTGCCAACAGTTTACGTCAACAGAAGACAGTCAGACAGATTGGGGTAGGGAGTTCCATAGGATGGAAGAGGCTTTCAAGAAGTCCTGGAGGTGAGCATGGAAGGAAGTGACAAGGAAGCTAGAAAGCAGGAGATCGAAGAGAAGAATTGGTATTTTGAGACTAGGTTAGTGATGTAGCTGGGGGCAGAGTTGTGGATGCGTTCGTAAGTTGTGGTTAGTATTTTGAATTTAAAGTGGGACTTTAGGCTTAAGAATTAAAATTGGTGGCCAGGCAGGATTTTTAAAGCAGAAGAGACATGCTTTGTCTCTTCTGTATTAAAGCTACTTAACTGCATGTCCGCGCCCTTGTACAGTAAGCCATGCATGCACAGCTCACTGTACATATTTGGAAACGCTGAATTGGACCGAACTCAAACACAGGCGCAGGAGTGACATCATTCCCGCCTGGCCAATGGCAGCGGTCGGCGATTGAGATCTGGAAGCCAGTCGCTTGAAAATGTCAGTGGCCGGACGGGCAGCTTGAGAACGCCACATTGCTGGAGCGAATTCGTTGGGTGAGTAGAAACCAGAAGAGGTATTGGCAGAAAGAAGCTGATGGAGGAAATAAATGGCGGTTTACTAGGTAGAAGCAGGATAGGCTTCTAAAAAGAGAAAGGTTTTTAGGGATCATCTAAAAGGTAGATAAATTAGGAGACAGCCGGACAGACTGGGGTAGGGAGTTCCATAGGGGAGAGCTCAGGAGAAGTCGTGAAGCGAGCATGGGAGAAGGTGACATGGGAACTAGAGAGCAGAAGGTCTTGGGAGGATCGAAGAGAGCGGTTTGGTTGATATTTTGAGACCAGGTTGGTGATGTAGCTGGGGGCAGAGTTGTGGATGGCTTTGTAAGTTGTTTTTAGTAATCTGAATTTTATTCGTTGGGTGAGTGGAAGCCAGTGGAGGGATTGGCAGAGAGGGGTGGAGGACACTGAGTGGAGGCCAGTGGAGGGATTGGCAGAGAGGGGTGGAGGACACTGAGTGGAGGCCAGTGGAGGGATTGGCAGAGAGGGGTGGAGGACACTGAGTGGAGGCCAGTGGATTGGGATTGGCAGAGAGGGGTGGAGGAGGACACTGAGTGGAGGCCAGTGGAGGGATTGGCAGAGAGGGGTGGAGGACACTGAGTGGAGGCCAGTGGAGGGATTGGCAGAGAGGGGTGGAGGACACTGAGTGGAGGCCAGTGGAGGGATTGGCAGAGAGGGGTGGAGGACACTGAGTGGAGGCAGTGGAGGGATTGGCAGGGAGGGGTGGAGGACACTGAGTGGAGGCCAGTGGAGGGATTGGCAGGGAGGGGTGGAGGACACTGAGTGGAGGCCAGTGGAGGGATTGGCAGGGAGGGGTGGAGGACACTGAGTGGAGGCCAGTGGAGGGATTGGCAGAGAGGGGTGGAGGACACTGAGTGGAGGCCAGTGGAGGGATTGGCAGAGAGGGATGGAGGACACTGAGTGGAGGCCAGTGGAGGGATTGGCAGAGAGGGGTGGAGGACATTGAGTGGAGGCCAGTGAAGGGATTGGCAGAGAGGGATGGAGGACACTGAGTGGAGGCCAGTGGCGGGATTGGCAGAGAGGGATGGAGGACACTGAGTGGAGGGATTGGCAGAGAGGGGTAGCAGACACTGAATGGTTGGTAAGGTGGATGAGCCTGGCAGCAGCATTCATGATGGACTGGAGGGGGACAGCCTATGTAAAGGTTATCCAATGAGAAGGGAGTTGCAGTAGTCGAGGCGAGAGATAACCAGGGAGTGAACTAGACGCTTTGTAGTGCAATGGTTAGGAAGGGGCATATTTTGGAGATGTTGCGGAGGTTGAGGCAGCAAGCTTTGGACAGCCATGGTCTGTTCCCCATGTGAATGAGCCTTTGAAGGGGGGAGGGGGGGGGGGTGGAAGATATTTCCTCTCACTTTATGCTGTGACTCAGGAATAGGAAGACAAGGCAACATTTTTTTTCAATGAGGCACAGTAAAAGTACAAAAAAAACCAAAAACCTAAATAGGAGTATCAGAAATTGAACGACTCCACATATAAAAATTCAGAACGATATTTTATTCGGGGTTGCTAGGGAAAATCCAACAAATTTTGGAGCTTATGAAAATCCCCCTTCTTCAGAACTGCAAGGATGATAAATCTGAAATCTGGACCGGGCAATAATAACAAATACTTGGGTCATCTTTCTTCCAGCAGATTCCTCACACTTGAGTGAGACTCAAAGAAGAATTAGGAGAAAGTCAAACAAAATATCAGGTAAACGTTTAATATTTGTAAATGTTCCCTATAAAACAGCAAATCTTCGCTGAGTTCAGGTCAGGTAAATAATGGAGGGGAATAACTGAGTGGGCAGAAGGTGTTTGCTATGTGCGTGTAAGAGAAGACGGATAACTTTCCTCTTGCTATGTTCCTGGAACATGCAGATCGAGAAAATGAAAAACAGCTTGTGAAAAAAGCAGAAAAAAGAGATAGAGGGCTGCCAGAAAGATTAGCCGGGACGAGTACTTCTAACGTCGGGCCATGCAGCCACAACAGTTACAGCCAAAACAGAACGGACAATCGGGTCCATCAGGGCTGCAGGGCCAGACTGTATAGTCCTCAATCAAGGTCACAACACCAGCGAGACCCAATGACTCGAGGACAAACCCCAACACTTGAGTATCGAAAAAAAAAACGAGGCTGGATGGGAGGGTCACTGAGGAATTATATTCATTTACTAATGAAGGAGACCATCGGCCTCGTTATACAGATTAAACATATCCAGCGGACAGCTGTTCCTGGGGTTATGCCAACGTGACAGAGCGATTACGGTTAAATATTGATTGCTTTATGCCTTTTTATGTGCACAGTTGCCCAATATGCTAATGGGGTTAATGCATCTCCCTGGAGCTTTCCAAAGGAAGGGCACATAAAAGACCTTGAGTTCTGGCATTATTAAGATTCTAACAGATTTATTTAAGGAGAACAAATCATGTCTGAGGTTATTCTACAACAGCCTTTCTCAACCAGGGGACCCAGGCACCCTGGGGTGCCTTAAGGTTTCTTTAGGGGTGCCTTGGCAAAATCTCTGAAAACTGCCCAAAACTTGTATACAAGCCAGCGGGTGGAACAAGCCTGCCTTCTAGTTACACAAAGCCACAGGTTTTCATTGTGCACCCATTACCACCTTCTAGCCGCCGGCGTCCTGACAACCAATGACATCATCAGTTGATAAGGAGGATGTCAGCTGCTTGCACAGCATCCTAGTGTGACCCTCCCCCGCCCCTCTCCATCAGTGCTGGGGTCACATTTGCTCAGTGATGCCTTACCTATTGCATGAGCTCTAAGGAAGCAGGATATAAATACACTAAGCCTTAAAGCCAAATTTTTTTTTTTTTCAAAGGATATGTCCACCTTTTGTTACATGTTACACCCATATTTAGGGTGTAACATGATGTGAACAGACAAGCCCCTGCACGCCCCCCCCCCCCCCCCCTCCTCAGCTTTGACAGCTAGCGGGGGATCTTCTACCCCTGCTAGCTGTCACAATTTTAAAAGAACGCGGCCATGCGGGGCTGCGCCTGCGTCACTCGTTCACGGTATTCTGTGGATGAGAAGACTACAAGTCCCAGCAGCCTTTGTGGCTGTCAGCTTGTAGCTCTCAATGAACCACCACTGTACTGTGGAGCGATGTGGTAGTTCATTGAGTCTTCCTGTCAGAATGTGTTTGCTTGCCCATACAGGATGTATGAGTACACAGCTACACTGACAGGTCTGCAGGAGACCTGCATGGCACAAGTTATATGCTGATTGCTTGTGCAAAGCTTTTGAGCAGCGATCTCCAAACTGCAGCCCGGGGACCAGATGTGGACGTTTGCTTGCCCTTATCTGGCCTGTGGGGCACTCTTTCACCAACTGACACTGATAACATGACTTAGTACTTGGTGGCAAATCCCTTGTTGGCAATCACAGAGGTCACACGTTTCCTGGAGTTGGCCACCAGGTTTGCACACATCTCAGGAGGGATGTTGTCCCACTCCTCTTGGCAGATCCTCTCCAAGTCATTAAGGTTTGGTGGCTGACATTTGGCAACTCGAACTTTCAGCTCCCTCCACAGATTTTCAATCGGATTAAGGTCTGGAGACTGGCTAGGCCACTGCAGGACCTTAACGTGCTTTTTCAAAGTGGGCAAACATTCAAAATCAGCAGGGGATCAAATACTTATTTCCTTCCCTGTATTAAAAATGCTTTTTTAGTGCAGCTTAGAACACAATGGAAGGAAAGGTTACTGGTCGCCTTTAAGAGACAAGATTGCTCTCTCTCATACAGGATGACCGGTTTTACCGCTTAGTCTTTTAAAGGCCAACTAATAGGTACACAGAAGAGTCTGGAAACTGTACAGCGAGATGCAGGAAAGGAATTGGCTGGAGACGGCTCACCTCTGTTTGGCTCCTGGTACACCAGGACCTTGCCAAGTTCAACTCCCAAACGCCTAGAAAAAGAGGAAAAATATAGTTAACTCCTTAATGCCCTCAGGCAGAAGACCAACATTTCACCAAAACTTGTATGAATGCACCAGAATACAGGTCTACTCGTGTCATATACTCCAAATATTTTTTTAGCATCACAAACCAGTACGGGGACTGTACATGTCAATGTAAGGTAAATGTGAAATTTCCAGTGAAGCTGAACAGTGCTGTGACCCAGCAGCTACTTACTGTGGTGGTCTCAAAGAAAGGGGCCGAACACCACGAGTCCAAGCTGCTAGCAACTGTTATTTGATAGTGATCACTGAACAATGCTGTTGCCATTGTCCCCATCCTCCTCCTTACTCACCTCATTCCCAACCATTCCATCTATGATTGGAAACCAAAGCAGTGATTCGGACAGCAGATATATTATTTTATTTTCGTGTTGTTTTGTTGAAATTAACACATGTAGCCAACAGTCAGCTTGTCTGCTTTGTTTATAATTTGAAGTTCCTGTGCCCCGCATGGGTGGGAGATGAGATTTATCCCAGCAGGGAGCGAAAACAGCATGGTGTCCTGTGACTGTGAAAAGCCAGACCTGTGGGCTCCGGGAGCTTGGGGCTTGGTCAAACTGAAAGGGCCATATATTGTCCCTATAGGGGAGAAGGGGCAGAGTTTGAGTCAGGATGGAGAGAGCAGCTCATGGCTGCAGGCCTTGCTAGGTGTTGCATTGAACTGTGCTTTGCTTTGTGCACTGCTGGGACTTGTGGTTCTACAGTGTCTGTATGGTCTTGAAGCTGCGGCCAAGACACACAGCCCTCTGAAGACCCATGAGGAGTTGGTGTCTATCTGCCTAGACTTCCTCTACTGAGGCCACTGCTGGCTGGTGAGTCCATGAAGTTTTACCCTGTGCTCTGTCCTTCTGCTGTGTACCCGGCCGTACCCATTGACTGCCAGTCTGCCCTTCTGCTGTGTGCCCAGAATTACCCCTTGACTGCCAGTCTGCCCTTCTGCTGTGTGGCCAGACTTACCCATTGCCTGCCAGTCTGCCCTTCTGCTGTGTGCCCAGACTTACCCATTGCATGCCAGTCTGCCCTTCTGCTGTGTACCCGGACTTACCTCTTGACTGCCAGTCTGCCCTTCTGCGGTGTACCCGGACTTACCAATTGCTTGCCAGTCTGCCCTTCTGCTGTGTGCCCGACTTACCCATTGCTTGCCAGTCTGCCCTTCTGCTTTGTGCCCGGACTTACCCATTGCCTGCCAGTCTGCCCTTCTGCTGTGTGCCCGGACTTACCCATTGCCTGCCAGTCTGCCCTTCTGCTGTGTGCCCGGACTTACCCATTGCCTGCTAGCCTGCCCTTCTGCTGTGTGCCCGGACTTACCAATTGCCTGCCAGCCTGCCCTTCTGCTGTGTGCCCGGACTTACCCACTGACTGCCAGTCTGCCCTTCTGCTGTGTACCCGGACTTACCCATTGCCTGCCAGTCTGCCCTTCTGCTGTGTACCCGGACTTACCCATTGCCTGCCTTTCTGCTGTATGCCAGGACTTACCCATTGACTGCCAGTTTGCCCTTCTGCTGCGTGCTGAGACATAACCCATTGCCTGCCAGAGCTGCCTTCCGCTGTGGGCCCGGACTTACTCATTGCCTACAAGTCTGTCTTCTGCTGTGTGCACGGACCTACCCATTGCCTGCCAGTCTTCCGCCCTGTTCTGTGCTCCTTGTCAGGTGTCCTTCCCTGCGGTACAGACTTAACTTTTGTTTGCCAAAACCTTGCTATTCTCACCGTGTACCCTCAAAATCTTTAAATAAAAGCCCTGTGTGCTCCACTGCTCTCCGCGTGTGTTCTGTCCCACCTACACCTCCGTCACAAGAAGACTGTAAAGTAAGGGTGACAACAGGACTGGTTGGGAGAGAGACCAGATTGAAGCACAGCATCACAGGTCTACTATCACTTAAGAGGGTTCATCAGTTGTTCCTGGATGGATCCTCCTTTGGTATTGTAAGCTCAGGATCCAGTTCTGTAGTCTGGTCTTGCGCTTGGCCAGTTCTGTTGCCATTCCTTCACTACAGCTCTCTGTTAGTAAAGGCATGGCAACAAGATTGGTCAACAGCAAGACCAGACTACAGAACTGGATCCTGAGTCCACAATATTAAAGGGATCATCAGTTGTTCCTGGCCAGCACCTCTTTTGGAATTGCTGACCCATGAGCCACTTCTGCAGTCTGGTCTTGCTGTTGGCCAGTCTTGTTGCGATTCCTTCACCACAGCTCTATTGAGCTTAAGAGTCCGTTCCTGAACAGTCTATAGGAGGCCACATGTCCTGGGTCTGGGGACCCAAAGTAGGAATCTCGCGCTCTGCAGTGAAGATAGAGGGCTTCATTCATGGTACATCCCATGACCAAGAATTTAGACATGTATCTGGAGAGATTAGATTTGGTTTCTTTAAATTACTGCAAACACCAGTAAGATGGGGTGGGGGTATTGCTTAGGGCTGGGGTAAGCAACCTGCAGCTCTCTAGCTGTTGTGGAACTACATTTCCCATGAGGCATTGCAACAATACAAAACTGACAGTTACAGCTATGACTTGCAGAGGCATGATGGAACTTGTAGTCCTGCAACAGCTGGAGAGTCGCAGGTTGCCTACCCCTGGCTTAGGGGAAGGGAGGATACCCTGGTCAGCGTTAACCTAACTTTCACTTTTAAATGGCTAGCGAATGAGCACCTGAAAACTCGTGAGGTCATCACTCTGCTCTCTCTGCCTATCAACAGTCAAAGCATTTAAAAATGTACCAGTTAACAATGCTGTCCCCTCCTTTCCCACCTTTGCAGCAAACTGCAGGAGAGAAATATTACAACTAGGAGTACTTTGTAGCTTAGCTACAAGAATGAATAATATGGATAATAATCCTGAAAAGAATAATGCTGGCCATGCAATACAGCAGCACCAGTCTGGAAGGGGTTAACCAATGACACCACTGCACAATGTCACTCTGAGATCAGTGGCAGGAAAGGTACATCTCAGAGATACAGATGTACTTCACGCAGTACAGCAAAAAATTGACAACATAATACCAGTCCGGTTTTGGATTCCATCCTATCTTTTAAGAAAACAATGAGCAATTATTACTCTCTCGTGATCAGCTGGAAAATGTTCACTGCGCTTTTGACAGACAGCTCTTTTGCTAGCACACTAAGCAATAGCAAGGGTGTAATTTGGACTTCTACAATCAATTATTTGGGTGTAAATGTCTGCAGGAACGCCAAAAAAAAAATAACGAATACAATTTAAACAGATCAGCAGCAATGGCCATGCACAATTCACTTATTCGTTTCAATCCTTTAAACAGGACCTGTACTATGAAGGCAAGCAGAGGGCAAAGGACTAGTCACCCGTATTTTCCAGTGGCCTCTCTTCAGGTGATCTTATCCCCAATACCCACTTACTATGCCATGTTCTGCATGTCAAAGCTGCCCCCCTAATGAACGGTGGTGGAATTTTCAAAAAGCAGCAGGAGAAGAGGTGGAGAAAGCAAAGATCCAAAGAATGATTGAAGCAGAAGCAGGGAGATCTTTGCACTGCAGGTCCCCAGGTACAGCTTCCACTCCAGCAAAAACAACAGCGTGCTCGCTTAGCTCACAACACCAAAATCTTATTCCAAATCTGGTGAGACTAGCATTCAGAGGCAATGCAGAAATACAGCTATAAGACTACAGGAGTGAGATCCCCAAGCATGCAAAGCAATCATATTCTGAAAGCGAAAACTGATAGATAAAATCTATGCGTTCTAACAACTTGTGGAGTAGTTCATCCTTGCTTAAAGAGCCACTGTCACTTTGAGACCACAGTAACTGAGAGGATATCTTCCCCTTCGCAGGAACAAGGGTCCCTATTGGGTGCCTATTTTCAGCCAAGCCTCTTGTTTTGGTAATGCCTAATATTTTGGATTTTCCACCACTTTTTGTCTCAGTGACAATGGTCATCAGTGCAAATGGAGCATGGAGCTCCCCAGCGGCAACACAGACAGCTTTAATCTTTAGCAAACACAAGTTTGGCTCTGAGGAAGAGGCAAGTCCTCGAAACGCGTCAGACTATTGGATGTCTACACTCCCAATTGTGGACTGTTACTCAGCGCAGTGTTGACCCAGCTGTTCTTTATGATGTGCCTTGACTTTATTGTCGTTTGTGAGTACAACACCTACTTTATTTCTTATTAAACATTTTTTATGGTAATGCACTAGGCCGGTGCGCCCTCTGTTTGTTCTTTCCTCATTCAGCTTTAATCTTTAGTTATAAAGTAATTTAGCAAAAATGAGCAAACGTAGCTAGAGATGTTATTGAAATCTCTGGATCTTCTGCAAATATGACCCTGAATGCTGCAATACGTATGGAAAGCATAATAAATATGGTGAATCACTGCTGCATTAGTCAGTGCCAGGTAATCATGTCTACAGTATAGCAGAAAAGTATTAACACTTTGCCCCAACAATTCACAAGTCTGGAATCATTGGGATGGCGTCCAGCCTGCAAGGAGAACGGAGATGCTCCAAGGTCAGGCATGTAGAGAGAAAGCAGCCTATTACAGAGGAAGGACAGTCATACTTACTCTCCAATCCTCTTGGCCAGCTCGACGCAGGAAGCATTGGAATTGGCAGAGAAGAGCACCAGGCCACCCTTGGTAACGTTCATCTTCGGAGAGTCTTGCAAAGTCGCATGCAAACGGCAGGGCCGACTGTCCTCCTGAGGAAAACAAGAAGAACATCATTATGAGTTTTAAAGTTCTACTCCTCCCAAAACTTTGTTAGATCTAGATAGACTTGTGAAGAAAAAAAAAAAAGACTTCTGTCAAGTTCTTAATGCTGTTTGTTTGTTATGTGGAAGATTTCACCTCACTTCCTCACCCTAGGTGTTTTGGAGGGGGGGGGGGGGTAGGTAAAAAAACTGGGGCACAGAGCAAGAAGAAGGGGAAGAGAGCAAAAGAGGCAAAGGTGGAAGGGCCAAAGAGAGAGAAAGAGAGCAGAGAGTGAGAAAGAGAAGGAATGGAGAGAGTGAGAGGGAGATGAGGGAGAGGAGAGAGATACAGTGGAGCAGAGAGGGAAAGAAGAGGGAGAGAGATTGAGAAGGGGTGGGGAGAGAGAGACTGGGGCAGAGAACAAGAGAGAGGGAAATAGAGAGAGAAAACGAGAAAAGGGGCAGAGGGCAGAGTAGAGAACCAGAAAGGGGGCAAAGAGCTAAAGAGCTGAGAGCAAAGGAGAGAGAGTGGGGCCAAGAGCCAGAGAGAGCAAGTATGGGGCCAACAGCCAGAGAGAGCAAGTGTGGGGCCAAGAGCAGTAGGCAGAGAAGAA